CATGTATTCACTTTTTCATGCATTTACTTTTTCCTTTTGTATGCCATCATAGTTTTAATGATGATGACTATCATTATTAAAAGCATGTTTTGGCATTTTTCAACTTTTGATTGGCAATCATGGAGTTTGCTGAGTTTTTTTATTTTTTTATTTTAGGCATTTAACATCTAGAGCTGTAATTTGGACTTGTGCACTCAGACGGAGAAGGCGTGACCAAGTGCTCCTGCTATTTCGGTTCATGCGGCTGAAGCAGGGCTGGACAAAAGTTTGGGTGGAATGGAAGACAAATTGAAGGGTGTGATGATGACTCATTACCCTCTCAGTCAGTCACATTTCTGCTCTCGTACCTTTCAAACTGCTGTTCCAATCAGAAAGGCATAGGAAGAAAATGTCGCTTGGGACTGACCTCAAGTGCAAAATGGTGTTGTGTAGAAGTGCAGTTAGGTAAGAAGTGATTGTTCTGAATTTTTGGCATACAAATTTAGAGGTACATTTCCTCATCTTATTTCTTCATCTTATAAGTATTTCTTTAAAGGGGCACATAGAAACCACTTTTCTTTAGCAACAAGACTGCCTTGAAGTGTAGTTGTCATCCTCTAAGCAGACATATAAGATGGCACTTGATTGAAATCAAAGACACTGCTAACATAAGTAGTATTTGTCACCTAACATACATGGAGGGCTCTTTATGTGTGACAGACTGACAGCTGCTTGTTCCGCTTCAAGACTTGGCCATAAAAACACTAGTTTTTAGTTCACTTCTATTGGGGTTTCTCCTTATTAACCCGACTCTTTAGTTCCCCATCAGTACAAACCTTTGATAAAATAACTCTGAGGAAAGTGCTGCATTTTGGCACCGTGTACGAACAGGATAATATGAATGTGCAAAGCTCTCCAGCTTTACTCCCCCTCTTCCATCTTTGGCTGTAAAGAGGAACTTGCTGTGGGAGGAACGGGTATCCTCTTCTGGGAGATTAAAGAGCAACTACAGATGGAGGTTATTTCTGGAATTCCTCCAGAGGACAACAGGTAAAAAGTTTTTAGGCCAATCCAACTATTTTCTGGGACTCTGGAAAAGTTGATGCTTCTCTTAGTGTCACTATGGTACTTGCAATAAAGACACTTTCTTTAAAGCCTGTGAATAAAAGACTACCATCATTTAGTTACTGCCTGATTTTCAAAGAGCAATGATGTGACTTTTCTTTATATGTACCCAACTCAAAATTTATATTCACAGTGCGTAGTTAAGGAAGTGCATAATTGCCCTGGAGTTTATAATAATATAGAAGTAAAGGAGCTCTGATGCTACCCAGCAGGTGTAGGATTCACATAGTGTCTACACATTATAAAACCAGCACATTAGCAGAGAACAAGCTACAGCTTGCATTCAGTCTCTTGGGACACGTAACAGTGACATGTAATGGAAAAAATTTGACTTGAAGTGTAAAAAATACTGAAAAAACACAGATGAAAGGCCTCCTGTGTAGCAACACAGCTAGACTCAGCCACACTTTGGATGATGCTTTCAAAGCCCGGAGAGGCGGTTACTGTAATAACACCGCAGACAGGGAGGCTGAAGACACACAAACCGAGCAGATCTCTGTCTGTGCACCTGCACTGCTGATTTAAAGAAAGTGGCTCTAATTTTTGTTAGATAAACATTCTGTTAGGTTCACATAATGACTTGTATGTGATCAGCTAACAAATAGTTGTTATCATTTTGCACATCCCCTCACCTCTTCACACCTTATTCTTGTCGTTTTACCCACTTTACTTACTGGTTTAACCACACCACCACCAAACGTGTTCACACCAGACGGCAGACGCAAATACTCACTAACATGTAACAGTAGTCCAGCATGCAATGGAATGAATTACATGTTGGTGGTAAAGAACAAAACACAGCTAATAAAGGGTGAATCTAGTTAGCACAGAACAGCTAATTTATTAGCTCCACCTAGCTAAACATAATGCAATCTATACTATCTAATGTAAATGTTACAATGTCTAGTTTTTGTCTAGTAAAAAAATATTTCAGAGACCTTTTGATATAGTTTTGGCTGCTCACCTACTTCTGATGGCACAGTTTTTACACTGGTTGCCCTTCCTGGCACAAACCCTACCATTTATCTTGCGCTGGTGACCCCCTGTGTCTGGGTTTGTGTCACCTCCTGTTGTCAAACTGGGTAATTTTCTCATATAAGGCAAAGGTATTAACATATATACCATGGGGTCACAAGACTTCTTGATAAAAATGTGCTAAACCCTAAAAAATGTATTCATAGGTGTTTCTCATATTTAGTCTAGCCTCACTGATTTAAACAGGATGGTTAACAGAATTTAAACAGAAGTATCTTTTAGTTGTAACATAACTGATTTAAGCAGCACCATAAACTTTAAACAGATTACACGAAGCCCCTCACTGAATTATAAGAGCACCTGAATATTATGACCTTTATCCAGGGGTAATTTCTAGCAACTACAACTGTTGTTTTAGACCACATTAGCTTTAGCACAGTGCTCCTAATACACTGGCAACTGAGTGTGAGTGATAATAATGTGTCAAGTCCAAAAAGATTGCAATTGCAATGTGTGTAAGTGTTGTTGCCCTGAGCATTGAAAGGACGTGGGCGACCATGGTCTGACCAGCACCAACCAGTAACTAGGCAATGGGATGTATCAGTATAATAACAGTAATGCCACTATGACATTAATAGGCCCCTGGTGCAATCCCACTTTAATTCCCAGTAACCTGAAATAAGCAGAACAACCCACTGCCACTCCAAAGCCATAATAATTTAAACCATAAATTTTCCTCTGGAACGCTGTTGTAGCACAGCCAAAATTAGACTCCAGAGGGGTTTGTACCCAAATGTACAGAGTTTAGGTAAGCACTTGATGTTGAAAACAAAAGAAACTTGATGTCCACATGAAGTCAAACCCTAGAAATGCAGGTGGGAAAAGTGCAGTTTTCAGTCAAATGCATGCACATTTTTTTCCACCATCAGCTGCTGTTTTTTTCTCAGTCTAATCAGAAGATTTCTGACCTGACCTGTTACCTCAACCAATCCATGAGTTCCAACTGAGCAGATTTCATTTGTAACCTTTTATATAGTTCTGAAAGTAAATAACAACACAAACATAAAATAATTCTGTTCCTTAAAGGAAATTCCACTGTGTGATGATCCAAAGTATAAGAAGCTGTGTTTACTGTATATTCTGCAAGCACTAAAGAAAAACAGCACCGACGGGTGTGGTGCCGTAGCATCCCTAAACCGTATGCTTGCTGGAGTTGTGCCAAGCCTTTAAAATTCAAATGATCCTCTAAAACAGCTTTTGAGAGGCAATTTAAGCTCTAAATTAGATTAATTAGAATATATGTCACAAAATCCCAGTAGACCTCTTAAGGAATGGTTTGTCATTGCAAGACTTAAATATAAATATCTACCCACAGGCTGCTGTTCAGTTTTTCAGATCAAGCTGGCCAAGCCAGCTGACAAAAGCAATGCCAAAAAATGTAGATTTTACAGTTAGATAGTTTAAGATTGTTCTTTTTTATTTTCCTCCAGCTTGCATTCTGGCTTAGGATGGAGCTTCTGTCCGAAGTAGAGGAATTTGAGTATTTTGGTATTATTGGTATCACAGGTAAAGTATCGTCTTGATCCATTCTCAATCATCCAGGAAAGTAAATCTCCAAAAAGTTGATTCTGTTCATCTGGACGTAGCAATCTTATAAACAGTACATTTGCATAATGACTGAAACCAGCCCACTGAAGGAACAATGGGCCGGGAGGTCAGTTCCTTAATC